GAGCTCGGGCCTGGCCCCATGTGGTCACAGCTGACCGTGATTTTTTTTTCCCAAGACAAAATAAATCTGGATTTTTATGTATAAAATTTCCTGTTTTTACGACATGGTGGGGCCTGTTTGCAGCCTCTGGTCTCGATGTTCTCAGACCAGGAGTCTTGGGCAGGGGACACAGTGGTGCCCGGAGCCGCCAGGGGCCGGTGGCTTCTCTCTAGCCTCTGCCAGGGCTCCCAGGCCCCGACCCTGGAGGGAGCTTCTTGGCAGAGGAGACAGGAGAGAACTCGTGTGCCCATCCTTGGCTGTGCCCAGCTCCAGCACCACCCAGGAGAGGGCGCAGCCGTGCGCCGCGCTGGGCACCCCTCTGCACAGGCTGCTCTGGGCTGGCTGAGTGGGCCGCCAGGTACCGGCGGCCCAGGCCCAGGGGCGGCCCCAGAGGGAGCGGGAGGGGGAGGGGAGCTGCCCCGGGGTCCGTGGCCACCTCTGGCGCCTCCCTGTCCGTGTGTTGGGCGCACTCCCCGGCCCACCAGATGCCAGCAGCCCTTATCTTCCCTCCCCAGGGAGTGGAGCCAGGGCAGGGGAACGGCTGGGACTCCAGCCCACGTCTGCGGCAGGAGGCGAAGAGGCTGCTCCCCGCAAACGACCCATCTGAGAGACGTTCCAGCTGCGGCAGGGAAATTCTTTGCACATGAGGAATGGGCCGGCGGCGGCTCGGCGGCAGGCGCAGCCTGGGACGGTGGGAGGCGGCTGGAGCCCGCAGCCCTCGGGGTCAGCACCAGCCTGGGGCCCTGCCCTCCAGACCCGGAGGTCACCGGCCGGGCACCTCCCCGGTGAGTCCCGGGGGGCGTGGGACCCAGGAACTTGGTCCCATCTGGACGCTGGGGGTCCCATTGCGGCTCGGGCCTGACCAGGTGGTCCAGGCAGAGCAGCAGGGCTCTGGGAGAGCCCGGGGCACTACAGAGATGGGGGCGCCCAGGCCCTTTGTCACCGTCACTCACAGCTGGGGGCCAAGGTCTCCTCCACCCACAGAGAACAGCAGCTAGACCCGGCGGGAAATGCAGACAATGGTGTTGCCGACACAGGGGCAGTCCCCCGGGGCCTGCTGGGTGGAGGTGAAGGACCACAGGGAGACTCTCAAGGCCCCCCCAGCTGATGTCACTTTGGAGACGGGAAGGGCCAGCAGTGAGGGGGGCGGGGGGCGCACAGGCTTCCTGTCCGAGCGGGGGTTTCCTGGAAAGGGCCTGTGCCCAGGAGGCAGCAACGGGCAAGCACACGCGTGCTCCTGTGGGTGCCTGCAGGCTCACGTTTGGGGGTTTGTCGAGAGTGATAGCGCCCAACAGCTTGTGCAGGAGCTCCCGGCCTTGAGCAGACTGGGCTCTCCAGTTTGGGGGCAGGGCCTCTCCCCCAGAGTGTGGCCCACCCAGGGACTTTTACACGGGGCCCTGAGAACCCCACCCCACCCCCTCCCCGGTTGGGCCTGAGTGACACTCTGCACAGCGGGCTGTGGAGCGGCGCCTAAGGCGAGGGGCGAGGGGACACCAGGGTCCCAACCCTGGCCTTCCCACCTGTGTGGCTTGGTGACACCGGTCAGTCCCTGCCTCTCAGCCCAGGGAAGCAGGTTTGAGCAGTGGCCACGGCAAAGCCGGAGCAGCTGACCCCCAGGCTGCTGGCAAAAGGCACGGTCACAGAGCACAAGGTGCCAGACTCCCACAGCCACGCGGGACCTCGCGGGCAGGCAGGACCAGGGGCCGCAGGCGTCCTGGTTCAGCCCAGACCTGGAGTATGCCAGCTCGCAGCCGTCCCAGCCGGCCAGGGCTGTCCACACCCCTCACGGCACCGTAGGAGCCAGAGGCCCGTGGTGGACCCAGCCCTGTGCATCCTCTGGCCTCCGGTCCCCTGTCCCTGCCCCCACACGCCTGCCCTGCGGGCATGCCGTTCACAGAGGCCCCCTGGCCTGGAAGCCACTCGTGAACACTCCATCACGTGACAGAACATTGACCACACGCTGCCGCCTACTGGGAGGCGGATGGCAGCTCCCCAGACACAGACTTGCCTTCGGACCCCGTCCAGGGGACCCCACTCCAAGTGCGCTGTCTGGTGACCTGGCCAGCGAGGGCCTGCCAGCACCGGGCTTTGAAAGCAGATTGGGTTTCACAGATGACACGGCCGCCAGCTCGGGGCCCCGGCGGGGTCATCCCCAGGGCAGGCTGTTTATAAGGTCTGGTCGCCTGTCCACAAATCCCCCCAAAGCCAGGGTGCTGGGGAGCATCACTGTCACCCCCACTTGACAGGTGAACGGTGGCACAGACAGAAAAGTAAGTGGCCCAAGGCCCCACAGCCTTGAGGTGGGGAAGCGGATCCTGGAGGGAGGCAGGACGGCTTTGAGTCCACAGTCTGCACTGCTGTCCCCAGACCCAGAGCTTCCCTGGGGGCTCAGTGCTGGCTGGCCGGGGCGGGGTGCAAAAAGGGACAAACACAGCCATCACAAGGCCGGATGAGGCACGGGGGCGGGGTCAGAGAGGGGGTTGGGAAGGCCACAGGCAGAGGGGGCCTTGCAAGCTGGGCCTTGAGGGGTGTGTAGAAGTTCAGCATGTGGAGCCGAGGGGGAAGGGAGGGCCCTGGATGTTAGGGAGCAGCGTGGGCAAAGTTGGGGGGAGTGGCAGGTAGGCTTGTGCTGGACAGACCAGTGGGGACGGCGGGCTCCTGGTGGGCTGGGCTGCTGGCTCCCTCCTGAGGGAGCCTGGGAGCACCATGGAGGGCGACTTGTGGAGGGTGGGGGTGGCTGGGTGGGGGTGGGGGGAGGGACCTCGGCTTTGTGCTTGCGGCCCAGTCGCCTCTCTCTGTGGTTCACGTAGGAAGGCATCTGTCGAGGGGTCCAGGTGCCGGGACAGACCCCCGCCCCGTTCCTGTGGCAGGAGGCCCGAGGGATGGGGGTCCCTCACCTGCAGGGCTGTGGCTCGGGGACAGGAACCGAGGGCAGCAGCGCCCCGGACACCCCCCCTGCGGGAGGGGCTCCCCCAGACAGAGACGCAGCTGCTGCCTTTCCACCCCTCCCCCCCAGCCTCTCCCCCGGAAACGGTCTCAGCTTTCTAACTGTTGAAGGACGTCTCACTCAGAAACGTGTTAACACAGAAACAGTGGCCAGAGACCACCTCCTCAGGCCTCCTTTTGCAGTCTGGGTGTTTTAATTACCTTGTTCACTTACTGGCTGTGTGACCTCGGGCAGGTCTGCTAACCTCTCTGTGTCGTTTCCTCAGCTGTAATGCGAATAACCGCAGCACCGTGGGCCTCCTGAGACCCATGAGAGAACTCAGTGGGCACAGCAGGGGGGGTGGAGGGACAAAGCACAGCCCCCACCCGCTGCCCGAGCTTGCTCTTTAAGCCCCTCCCTCATGCGCCTCCCCCAGGGCCCCCCAGACTCCAGGTTGGTGGCAGATTTTTCCTTTTGCTCTAGGACTCTTTTCAGGGGAGTGAGTGGGAGTCTCTCACCCCCGTGCTGGCTACACATCTTCCTCTTGCATTTAAACTTTCTGGGTCACCTGGGCTCCCAGGGCCCAGGGGCGGAGCTCGGCCCCTCCAGGGTCTGCCGCAAAGGGGTGAAGGCCGGAGAGGTGGGGCCAGGAGGGCCCGACCGAGCCAGAGAACAGCGAGTGGGGAGAGCGGGAGCAACCACGGGAGACCCACCCAGCCCCACGGACCGGGTCTGAGGGCGGCGGAGAACGGAGTGGCTGTCCGTGGGGAAAGGGGGGCGCTGACCTCACCGAAGGACCCTCTCCCCGGCTCCCCTTCCCAGTGCGGACCTGGGGTCCCCGCCGGAGCGCGGATGGGGACGCTGTTTGTCACGTTCCGGAACAGTCCACCCTGGATGCCTCCACGTGCATCCGCTCGCGCACCTGCCCACTGTCCTCCAGTGGGGTCGGGCCGCCCCGCCGCTCCGGGGCCCACAGCGCCCGGGAGTCCGGGCGCCAGACAGAGCTCTCTGCACCCAGGACCCTGCGTGGAGGGCCCGCTTCAGCAAACGGAAAACATTCAGGGCACCAAGCACCGCGCACAACGGCGGCCCTGCGGTCCTGTTCCCACCTGGCGGTGCAGCCGCTCAGGGAGCCTGGGGGGGGGGGAGGGGAGGGGGGTGGCTCGGCTCCGAGTCAGCAGAGCTGAGCCGAGACCACCGGGCCACCCCGCTGCCACCTCTCACCCGTCCATCCGGAGGCACCGCAGGACTCCGGGTCCCCAGAGGGCAGGAGAGTGAAAGTCCCACCTACCGGCGAGGCGAGGGTCTGGGCTGGGGCCTGGCGGAAATCGGGCGTTGCGTCTGGCTGGGTCTGACAACCCCCCTCGACGCCCCCAGCTCCCCACGCCGGGAACGCGACTCGCAGGTGCCCTCCTCCGGCAGACACTGAGGAACCCGCGCGACCCCCGCCGACCTCGCGCCCGCGGCGGCGGTCGCACTCCCAGCACAGTCCCGGGGACCCTGAGGCCCGCGGTCCCCATGGAAACCGGATGCCTGCGCTGAGTCGGGAGCCCAGGGGCGCAACGCAGGGACCTGGCCCCACCGCCGCTGGTCGGCGAGCGCGGCACGGACTCATCCACAGGCACGCGAGGTGCACCAAGCCAGCCTCTCGGAACCCGGGCTGGCAAGGAAGGCGGGTGGGGCTCCGCGGGTGTCCCCCCCCCCAACAAATTGAGAGTAGTCTCCCTGCCCCGCTGCCCCAGTCGTCACGGAGCACCGGCCCGCCACTGTCATCTGCGCCAGCTGGGACGCAGCGCGGGTCCCGAGAGCCCTGCGCCCTGGTCGCCCTCCTTGCGCAGCCCCGAGGGCCCGGTCTGCGGGAGTCACGTGGCGCCGCGGCCGCAGCCCCAGCGCTGACCCCGCGGGGAGGGAGTGCAGGGCGCGGGCAGGGAAGGGGCGGCGCGGCGGGGGCGGGCCGGGGCGGGGCGGCCGGAGGGCCCGGGATTCCCTGCGGAACCGAGCAGGCTCCGGCTCCCAGTCTCCAGACCGTCTGTCACCCGCCCACTGCGACCGCCGCGCCCTCGGGGCCTCACTACGAGCGGGCGAAAGCCCCAGCCGGGCTTGTCGCAGCGCGCCCTCCCCGGCTTGGTGCCTCCTCCTAGCTCGGCGGAGCCTCAGCGCCCCGGCCCTGCACCCTGCGGACCTGGGGCCTGACCCGCCGCTTTTTCGAAGCCCACGCGGATCCCACGCCGGGAAGCTCGAGAGCCCGGACAGTGGAGGAGGTGAGCTCCGCGCCTCGGCTGCACCGGGGCTGCCCCTCGCGGTCCTGCCCCCACGGGCTCGGACCCGTCCCCAAAACGGCCCGGCTAGGAAGCGGGGAGCGCTGTCCGAGGGGCAGCACCTACCAGGTGGTGGGGGCACACAGCGACCTCGACCCCAACGCCCGTCCCTCTTCTCCGCAGGTCAAGGCCGCCCCCGGGAAGATGTACCCGAGCCCTGGCCAGGCCACCTACCCCGACTCGGGCGCCTTTCTGCACGCGCCGGGCGCCGCCTCCCCGGTGTTCGTGCCGCCGGCGCGCGTCCCCTCCATGCTGCCCTACCTGCCCACGCGTGAGCCGGGTCCCCAGCCCTCCGCGCTCGCAGCGCACCCGGGCTGGGCGCAGGCGGCCTCGGCGGACTCATCGGCCTTCGGCTCCGGCAGCCCGCACCCACCGGCCTCTCAGCCGGCCGGGGCCACCAGCTTCTCCTTCCCGCACAGCGTCCCGGGGCCCGGCGGTGGCGGCGCGGGGAGCCGGGATGGCGGCACCTACCAGGGCGCGCTGCTGGCTCGCGACCAGTACCCGAGCCCGCTCGGGCGGCCTGGGGTCGCCTCGTACCCCGCCGCGTACCCGGCCTACGTGAGCGCCGAAGTGGCCCCGCCCTGGGCCTCCGGACCCTTCGAGGGCGGCCTCCTGCACAGCCTTCAGGGCCGCCCCGCTGGCTTCCCCGGCCGCAGAGCCGCGCTGGGTGAGTGCAGGGCCGGGGCAGCTCCTCGTGAGTCCTCGTGGGTCCCGGGGCGCAACCTGCTCCGGGATCCGCGGAGCTGCCCAGGCCGGGTAGCTCTCGGGCCTGGGGGCCAGAGCCCTGCGTCCTGCAGCGCCGGCCGAGCCTCCGCCCGCCCCTCCCTCGGAGAGGAGGGCCCCGGGTCCTGAATTCCTGTCCCGCGTCAGAAGACAGGGTGTCAGTTCTACTTCCCTTTTACTCTGGATGGTGCCGACTTAGAGCCTACCTGTTCCACGTGGTTGTGGAAAGTTTGGGAAGTGACTTTATAAAGTTCAGAACGCCAGTTTCTTTAACTGAGTGGCCACCTTTGTTTCTGTTCTGGAATGTTTACATATTCTATGGTGAGACCTGGTCCCAATGCCGCCCTGCTATAAATTGGGTCATCGGATTCCAGGGCCATAAAGCTGAGAGCACCCCACCCCGTTCCGGTGGAGTCGGGGTCACTGACACTTTCTCACCCCGTGGCCGTGGCCAAAACCCAGAAATCCAGGGCAAAGCCTCTGTTTGCTGCCCTCAGGGCCCGCTCCAGTCACCCTCCTGCTGCCACGGGGCAGCCTTTTGTCCGGCCTCCTCCTCCTCCTCCTCACCAGGCCCCAGGAAGCGGGTCGCTTGCCCCTGCTCCCCCCCCTACACCTTGCGCGGCCCGTGCCCAGCAAGCCTGGGGTCCCTGGGGTCCTGGGGGCTCCACCCCAGCGCCCATGGAGGCCGAGCTGTGCTGCCTCCCACGGTCGCCGACAGTGAGGCCCCTGGTCCCTGCAGGACCTCTGCACCGAGCCCTTCCGGTCCTCCTGCCCCGCAGAGGACAAGGCCCTCGGCCCCTCCCCCCGGAGGACACGCCTGCCTCCCCAGGGGATCAAAATGACGGGCCTCGGTGCCGGACCCCGTCCCCTGTCTTCCTCCCTGAGGTTTAAATTATGAAACCCCCCACTGGGTTACACCAACCCCGAGGAGTGTTTAAATTCCCACAAACCGTCCTGCCTGTCATCTTAAAATTAGATAAAACGTACTTCACAACAAAACAAATGTGCGGCACAGACTGGCGGGGAGAAAGAGCCACAGACGCCCTCCAGGGGGCCGGAGCCCGGCCCCACGCGCTGCCTGTCCCCGCAGTGCCCGACTTCCTGGAGGAGTTCCCCGGCGAGGGTCGCGAGTGTGTCAACTGCGGGGCCCTGTCCACGCCGCTGTGGCGCCGCGATGGCACCGGCCACTACCTGTGCAACGCCTGCGGCCTCTACCACAAGATGAACGGAGTCAACCGGCCGCTCGTGCGGCCCCAGAAGCGCCTGGTGAGTGTGGACCGCGGAGGAGGAGGCGGCCGGCGCTCCCGGGAGGGGCAGCGCCACCACCCGCACAGGGGCCTGGGGGCTGCCGGAGCCCTGGGCGCCCGTGGGGGCGGGTGGGGATGACAGCGTCTGCCTGGCTGGTGTGGCAACAGGGACAAAAGGCCTGCTTCTTGAACTAGCAGCTTCTGGGAGCTCAGCCCTGTGGCCCCCAGGGCGACTGGGGGCGGCTTCTTGTCCGGCTGGGTGGTGGCGGCACCAGGGGACCTGGCGGGGCTGGAGGGGAGAGTGCGGCTGTGTTGAGGTCTCGGGGGTGGGGGGGCAGCCGCCGTCGCCCGCCTGGGGAGCACTCCCTGCCGGACCCTGCGGGGTGGGGGCCGGACCGGGCCCAGGTCTGTTCGGAGGTTCTCAGGGCCGACTGTTTTCACTTTTGGTTCCTTCTCTCGTGCGGCCGGGTGGGAGTTGGGGACTGCAAGCCGGACCTTTGCCCCCAGTGAGGCAGAGTCCCCAGAAGTCACTGTGCTCTCCCCTCCTGCAGGTGAATCCGGCGTTCACTTACTTTTGTGGGTACCCGGAAGGGCCTGGGTTTTCAAACCGTCCGAGGCAGCGAGGCCACGGCGGCCCCACGGAGGCCCGGGCGGGGCTGCGGCACCCGCTGGCCTAACACTCGCCGGCTCTCTCGGGCTCGCTCGATTGTAGGAGCCCTGTCACCGCCAGGCAGCCAGCCGGTTCTGACCGGTTCTGGCTGGTTCTAGTGCGTCAGGCCCTGGCAGGGGTGGAGCCTGGCTGGTCGGTCTCCGGCCGACACTGCGGGGTGGCCCCGCCAGCCTGCTTGGTTGCCTTTCTGGGCTTGTGGGTGCGCAGCTGCAGGACTGTCCTGGAGACAGAAGCCCCCCCCCAGCTCCCCACCTCTGGCTATGGGAGCGTCAGGCTCCTGCTCCGAGTCCCACACCGGGCAGGCGAGGAGCAGGGTGGCCCGGTCTGGCTGTTCCCAGGCAGCCACTGTTTTTTCCTCGGCTCAGGCCTGCAGCCTGGGGCCCCGTGGGTCCCCAACCACACTGTGCCGCTCGGAGAGAGTGGGCCCGTAGCGTCCACGGCACCCCACACTTAGGTCTCTGCCCTGCATTCGTGCCCCTACCTGCCCCCCCCCCCGTGCTGTACTGGCAGGTACCTGGTGTGGCCCTCACTGCCGGGGAGACTGAGGCTAAGAGGGACAGGGTCCCGGGGACTGCAACCCAGATCTCCTGACCCCAGGCCCAAAACGGAGTGCCGGACACATAGGCCACCAGGATGGGAAGGTGTCCCCACCCTTTGCAGGGCTCACCCCCCAGCAGAAAATTCCTGGCGTGCAGGGGGGTGGATGGGGCTGCTGTTGAAGCTTTGGGCCATGTACCCTCACGACAGCCAGTGACGAGTCTGGGGCTCAGAGAGGGGGCCACTCCCCTGGGCTGACAGCCGGCAGCCGGCAAACCTGGACGCTGAGCAGCGGTGCCTGCCTCCGGGCCCCCTGCGTCCCCCTCATGCTGAGCCCCCTGCCCTGGGTCTCCTGGCCCAGGCCCCGGGAGGCGAAGTCAGGAGCTGTCCCCGCGCCTGCGCCAAAGGCTAAAAGAAAGCGCCAGCTCTGCAGGGCTCAGGGCCTTGGCTGGCCCTTTGGACAGTGAGGTCTGGGCGCTTGGCCTGCTGTGAGGTGGAGCACCCTGCGTGACCGCTCACGTCCCCAAGGCCACGGGCCATGGAGGGCGGACGGTCTGACCACCCCTGTATCCAGGACGGCGCAGACCCGAGTCTGTTTGCCGAGTGGGTAGGGGTCAGGGGACTTCCCCATCTTCCCCAGGCAGGCCCCTCGGGGTTCACTCTGACTGGCACTGGGAGCCCCACTGGCTTTCACGGAGGGCGGCCCCTGTGGCTGGTCCTGGCGGGGACAGATGGAAACCCAGAGACGCGCGCAGGGTCCTGAGCCCACAGCCTGATCCGCAGGGCTCCCTGCCACGGAGCGGCCGGGCCAGTGGCCCTGGACTGGCCGCCACTTCACTGGGTCCCTGTTCCTGCATGGGGCACAGGCCCTGAAAGCTGGTCACCAAGGACACAGGAACCTAACAGGGACGACCTGCCCCCCGCCCTGCAGGCGGCGTCTGTGCTGTCTTTGGTGTCCTTAGTCACCGAAGGCTGGAGGGGCACCTTTGCCCTAAGCCACCCCCAGGGGCTCCCCACCAGCCTGCTCGTGGGGCCGGGGCGCTGCAGCCCCAGCCACCGCCCCCACCAACATGGGGGCCCACAGCCAGGGCCAGGGGACCCCAGGTTCACTGGTCTGTGAAGGCCCTGGTGCCAGCACCTGGAAGCAGCCTGGCCGTGCGTGGGACCCGGCGTCCTTGCTGAGGGAGTCGGACCTTGACTGGGGCCCTGGGGCGCACGGGCCCGGCCTCGCCTCCTGGACTCTCGTCCCCACGGAGTGTGAAGTGTGCCCTGAGCCCTTGGGACGAGGCTCTATGGGGTGGCACCTCCCCCATGTCCAAGAGGCCCAGGGGCCCTGTTTCGAGGCTGCTGTGAGTGGGACCTGCAGGCTTCCTGTCCCTCGTCCCCGTCCCCAGGGGCCTTTCCACGTCCCTGCTCCTCCCGCCGCTGCCCCCCCCCTGCCGCCCCACCCTGACTTCCTCGGATGTCCCAGAGCTGGGGTGGCCTGCTGCAGCCAGCAGGCTTTGAAGTTCCACTTCTTTGGGAAAAAAAAACAGACTGTAAAAGAAAATAAAACGCAGACAATCAGCCTGGAGGGGCGGGGGCCTGGGGGGCGGGGCTGCCAGTCCCCAAGGGGGCGAGGAGGGCAGTTGGGGACTTGGGGACGCGTCCCCGCCGTGTGTCCTGAGAGGAGGCGGTTCTGCCCTCTCGGGGGGCACCGGGCCCTCAGCACCTCTGAGACTCAGTTTCCCCTCTGTGAACCAAGTCTGGCGAGGGGGGAGGGCAAGGTCAAGGAGCAAACGCTTTGGGTTTTTTCAGTTATTTTCCCCCCATTTTCTTAACTTTGGTTTAACTTCCCATTTCTCTGTAAAAATAATTTATTGTATGTTCTCTATCACCCCGTAACCCCGTCTACCCCTCCCTGCGATCGCAGAATCACTTTCGAGTCCCTCAGTCCTTCTTCCTTTTCGCTCACTCGCGTCGCCCCCTCCCCTCCTCCCGTCTCGTTTCTTCACTCGGACCCTCCTCACTGGGAAGCGATTCAGACGTGGCTTGCAGGTGTCCCCTGACACTCCCGGGGGCCTGTCTTTCCACGTGCACAGGTGCTGCGTGCAGACCACCTCCTGTGGGGCACCCTCTGTGTGCCAGCTTCCAGCCCCCGGGGGCAGACGGGAAGGAGAAGGGGGTGGGGAAGGGGCCCGTGTCCAGTAAAAGCAGCTGCTTTCCCAACCAGGCCAGGCCGTGGCCACAGGCTCCCGGTGGAGACACATCCACCAGGTTTGGGTTTCTGTGGGAGCTGGTGCCGGGTGCGGAAGCTCCCAACAGACCCCCAAACCCCCTCCCGGGCCACTCGCAGGGGCCGACTTGTGCCCTTGACTGCTGGCCACAGCCTGGGGGAGGCGGATGGTCAGCCAGGCTGGCCACACACGGTCACTGCGGGGGGAAGGGTCCTCCGGGCGCTGATAGATGGGAAAACTGAGGCTGCCCCACCCTCCGCGCTGGCCCCAAACCCTCCCGGCCGCGTCCCCCCTGCTCCGGCTGCGCCCAGCGCCGGCTCACACTGGCCTCCCCTGTCCACAGTCCTCGAGCCGCCGGGCCGGCCTCTGCTGCACCAACTGCCGCACGACCACGACCACACTGTGGCGTCGCAACGCAGACGGCGAGCCGGTGTGCAACGCCTGCGGGCTCTACAGGAAGCTGCACGGGGTGAGCGGGGCCGGGGGGTTCTGGGGCGGGCCCACTGAGGCCCGGCGCGGAGCTGAGGCCGTCTGCCCCCGTGTGGACGCTTGGTCTGCCTCTGCATCGCCCCCCATCTGAGGGGATGGCTCTGCCTCCCCTCCCACCTCAAGGAGGGCACCAGGGGCCTCCGCAGCACCCCCCCCAGGGCTGTGAGGACACCTGGGCTCCAGGGGCGACTTGCCAGGCGGGCGGTGGTGCGGGGGCCTGGGGTGGGCGGGGAGAGGAGCCCGCACCCAGCGGCCTGTCTCTGCCAGGTGCCCCGGCCCCTGGCGATGAGGAAGGAGAGCATCCAGACGCGGAAGCGGAAGCCGAGGAGCGTGGCCAAGACCAAGGGCTCCTCAGGTGCAGGGCCAGGGCCTGCCCAGACGACCCCCAGCCCCTGAGATGGCCCCGGCCCCGCTCGTGGGCTCATGGTCTCCCCGTGGGCGCCCCGCATTCTACCACAGAGATTTACACGTTCGGGGCCAGTGCTGTCCCCTGAAGTGCGAACACCCCTACTCTGTCCGGGGACCACTTTGGGGGGCGGGGAGGGACTGAAGCAGCCCCCGCGCCCCTCACTTGCTGCGACCCCACCCGTCAGCACCCTCCTCTCCTCCCAGGGTCCCCCGGGAACGGCACAGCCTCCCGGCCGCCCTCTGTCCCCAACCCTGAGGATGCAGCGGCCAGTTTGAAACCAGAGGCCAGCCTGACGTCCCCTACCTGCCCTGGGCCCAGCGTCACCTCCCAGGTAAGGCAGATGAGGTGGGCAGGTGTCCAGAGCTGCCTCCAGGTACCTCCTTGGGGAGCTGTGACCTCCTGGCCAGGTCACGGCCACCTCGGTCCTCTCTGGGAGCTCAGGGCTGGCCACACGTCCAGTCACTGGTACCTAGAGGTGACACGGTCCAAGAGCCAGGGACCCCCACCCCATTCCAGGAGGGAGGAGACCCTCAGGGTGAGGTCTCCTGACCCCACATGAGCCAGTGGGACCCCACGCTCCCAGCATCCCCTGTCCTCCCTGCAGGCCTCCAACCAGACGGATGAGCCCCTGGCCCCCAGCCACTTGGAGTTCAAGTTCGAGCCTGAGGACTTCGCCTTCCCCTCCACGGCCCTGGGTCCCCAGGCTGGCCTCGGGGGGGCCCTGCGCCAGGAGGCCTGGTGTGCCCTGGCCTTGGCCTAGGTCCCCAGTCACCCGCCAGACCCGCCTCGTTGCCTGTCGCTCCGGCCCAGGGGACAGCCCACCGGGCCCACCTGCCGGGAGAGACAGGAGCCAGCAGGACCACTAGGCGCTGAGTCCCCTTGGCATGTGGTGGGGAGGCCTGTGCAGGTGGCTGTCAGGCCCGGGACAGGAGGAAAGCGCAGGGACAGAGGCCGAAGCCCCCACACGCAGCAGGGGACCCCCAGACGCGGCGGGAGGCTGGGCACCACGCTGACCGGGCACCCACGGCCACCCGAGCCTCCATGGTCAACGCTCGCCGCCGTCACCTGTGCAGGGGTTGGCCCTTCCCCGAGCGGCCATCACTAGTGTGCGCGGACGGTGTTCCCAGAGGGACGGTGAAGGACCTTGTTCTGGCCGAGTCGATGTGCGTGAGCCTCTCTGACGGGCAGACCGAGGTCCCCGAGCCCCGCGGGACCGGTCCTCGGCTTGTCTGAGGTCCCAGCAGAATTGCTCACCGACAGCCTCCCTCCTCCAGAAGCCCCTCCCAGGGTCGGTGACAAAGAGACTGGCCCTTTGGGCTTGGCAGCACCCTGGGGGGGGCGCTGGTGCGAGGCTGCTCACAGCCTGCTGTCGGGGCAGCAGGAGGGAGTGGTGGGGAGTGGGGCGCACCCTCCCCAAGGCCACGGTCACGTGGACATGGACTCTGCCTTTCTCTAACACGACCTCCTGGTTTCCCCAGGGAAATCAGAAATGGCAATTTTTTATTTTTAATGTAAAGCCTTCCAATTGAAAGCTTCTCTCCCTTGACTCCTAACTTGATTCAAAAATCTTAAAAAATTTTTTTATTTATTGATTTGAAAGAGAGAGAGAGAGACATCGATTTGTTGTTCCACTTATTCACACACTCGGTTGCTTCCTGTTCGTGCCCTGACTGGGGATCGAACCCACAGCCTTGGCATCTTGGGATGACACTCCCACCCAACTACCCAGCCGGGGCCTGACTCAACGCTCTTTTGATGCCGTGAGTGAGCTGCCAGCCGGCCACCACCGGGCTGCCCTGGTGGTCGCCCCTGGCGTCCCCCGGGGTCCAACCCGGCCAGTGTCTGCGCGACATCCTTCGTGGTTTTTTTTAGAGATGAGCGAGGCTGTAAGGAAAATGTGAAATAAAGAGCTTGCCTTCGCCTCCCCGTCCCGTCACCCGTGGGACTTCCTGGCCTCAAGGCCACAAGCCCAACCTGCAGACAGCCCCTTTCAGAAGCCCATCCCAGGGCCCCCCTGCTGGACCTCGGTGGCCACTCAGAGTCCCGCCAGAGGGGCCCCTGGAGGTGTCTGCAGGCCTGGGTGCCGCTAAGGAGCAGGGCACCTTCAGGGTTGCCCTCCAGCCTTGTTCTGCCTCTGTGAGTCCGGGATTCCGGCCCCCCCCCCCCCTCCCCGTGCAGAGCAGCTGCAGGACCCTCCCTCAAGGAGCCGATTAAAAGCTGCGTCTCAGGGCCCGGGGCCAGATCGGGAGTGGCTGGAGCCCGGGAAGCCGCGTGCTCCCCAGCCCCCCCCCCCACCCGCCCAGTGCCTGCAGCGGCCACACAGGGCATCAGGTGGCCAGTGCCCAGCTGCAGAGGAGACCCCTCCAGGGAGGGCCTGTCAGCTCACAGCCAGCGTCCTGCGCAGGAGGGCCAGGAGCAGGCAGTGTCTGCAAGGCCACCCCTGGGGCCGGATGTGAGACCTCTGCCACCTGGTCTCCATGCCGACAGCCTCCCCGGGGAGAAAACTGAGGCACAAAGCGGTGAGGGGGTCACCTGTGTCCTCATCCATCCCCGTAACTTGCTCTTCCCCACTCCGAGGGGGTGGACACCTGGTGAGAGAATCGGAGGCACCAGGTGACATGAGGTGCCAGGTCCCAGCAAGGCTGGAGGGGACAGTGCAGCACCCTCACAACGCAGTGCTGCCCCTGGGGAGCCAGGTGGCTCCTGTCGGAGCATCAGTCCCCCCCGGTGCTCGGGGGGGGCGGGGCGCGTGCTCATGCCTGGCTCTGCGGTCCACACTCGTGTGTGGGGGCCCCGGGCCCCGCGAGTCCCTGGGACTGGAGGCCGTGCTTGGTGCTGAGCAACCCGAGGAGGCTTCCCGGAGGTGGCCACAGTGGGCAGGTAAACGGGGCAGGTCCCCACAGATGGAGGGAGTGAACTTGGCAAAGACAGAAAAAGAGGCCATCTCTCCTGCCTCTTTTTGTCATTTTTAAGAACGTGCCTTGGATGGGGGGGCCAAGCCCCCCACCTCTGGCCACGGACATGTTGCTGCTATATTTAAGCCTTTCTCCGGAGTCACCGCTTGTGTCGGAAGCCGTCAGACCTGCAGCCTTAATATAGCCACCGAGCACCCCCTTCCTGCAGCTCTTCCTCCCGCCCCTGCCCCCCAGGCTCTGCCCGCTGGGCACAAACAGCTGGACGCCGGGAGGCTGGCAGGCCTAGGCAGCTGGAGCCTCTTGTCAGAGCAACAGGACGGAAAGGAAGGCCACCCTGTGGGCGCTGCCCGCCTGTGCCCACCATGTGCCCGGCCTCCCAGGGAGGCTGGGGGGCCGCCCACCCTGCCCCGTCCCCCCAGGCCCTGTCCCGCGTCCCTGGGGAAGGGGAGACCCTGCCAGGGAGGCAGAGATGGACGGACAGAGCGGGGGAAGGGGAGGCAGCCAGGCCCCTCCCCGGGGTTCCTTCAGCCACCACCTGCTCCCACCCTGCCGGCCTTTCACTCGGTTGCTTCACTTCCGACCCAGAGCAGCGGCCCAAAGTGCCCCAAGGACAGCCCTGCAGGCTGCTCCCCCACCACACAGGCCTTTGAGGACCGAGTCAGAGGCTCTCATCGCCCGCCGCTGTCCCCAGCGGGCTGTCTGTCACATACAAGGGTGCCCTTCTCCCCTGGGCCCTCGGACCAGCGTCCCGCTGGCCAAGCGGTGCCCCGACCCCAGAGCTCCCGTGGGTTGGTGTCCCCTTCGCTGGCCTCTCACAGAGAGGGCTCAGACCCTCCTGCAGGACACGGCGGGGCTCACCTGCAGGGTCAGCGCTCTGGGGAAGCCACAGGGGCACCAGCCTTTGCTGTGCCAGACCGGGAGAAGGCCAGTGGCTGCCGCCCCCGCCATTCTGCCCCCAAGCCCGGGGGAGGAGCGAGACCTGCACACTCCCCGCCGCTCCTTCCTTTGCCACACACCTGGGGGCTGCGTGTGGACGGGGCCCAGGAAGGGGCTGCCAAGACCCCCCAGGTCTGGGACCCCCCCCAGGGACCCCTTCTGGAAAACAAGAAGCCAGAGGGCCAGGGACCCCTGAGGCTGGGAGGTGCCCTGCTCCTCACCCACCCACATCCCAGTAGGGGCTGGGCAGGCCCCAAGGAGGGGGCCGGCTGAGCCCCCAGACCCATCGGAGCCAGAGTGGGCGTAGCTGGCCCTCGACGGCCATACGCAGGCCACGGCCGGCAGCCCCCCTACAAGGCCCGCCAAGATGTTGACACGGGCGGCTCCAGCCGTCTTATTTATTATCTGATAAAGGGCTCTCGGCACCGCCGTGGACAGCGTCTGGCCACACTGGGGCTGGGGGAGGGAGCAGTGGGCGGCCGACTGTGGCCAGAACAGGCCTCCCCGCCGGGCTCCAGGGTGCACAGAGGAATCTGGGCCCTCCTCCCCCAGCCGATGGCCTTGCTTCCGCACTGCCCACAGGGCCAGCGGGCCCAGGAGAAGCCCTGCTCCTGCAGGGGCCTCCCCACACCCTGCCTCCTGGGTTTCGTCCCAAGACCTGCGCCCCCTTGCTGCCGGACCCTGCTCTCCCCACCACCGGGTCCCAGGAAAATCCCCCGGCTGAGGCCCTCCGGTCCACCCACCCAATATCGCCACAGCCCATCCCCCACCCTCCGCCTGGCCCAGAGCTCGGACTTCCCATGATGCAAATCTGGGTCTGTTTCTCCTCTGCTTCCAAAAGCTCCGGCCCGGGTGCCGCTCCGCTGGCCACAGCCTCAGGGCTGCCCCCCCACAGCGCCCGCGTCCACTCTCCTGGACCCTTGGCCTCTGCACCTCTGCAGGCACCGTTCCCTGTGACCAAGACACCCTTCCTCGTCTGCGCCAGGGACATGGGACTCGGGGTCAAGGACCTCTGACACCTCCTGGTCGCGAGCCTTTCTCTGGCAGCTGGGCGGTGGTAACCCAGAGTCCTCGCCAGCTGGAGGCCCACCCCCACCCCAGGGCCGCTGCGCACAGAGGGAGCACCCTTACCTGCCCCCGAACAGGCATCAACTCAGCCACCTGGAGGCTGTGTCCTGTGAGCCGCGGAAGGCCAGAGTCCTGAGAGTACCGAACAGTGCCAGCTTGTTCTAAAGTATTTTCCCTGAACCTCCCCCCAAACAGGCTTTTATAACCAAGGGGACCACAGACAGGGCCTCCACGGGGTCTCCCCAGCCAGCCTGCCCACCCCCCCTCACTGCCCCCTCGTGAGGGGTGGGTCTGCCTGGGAGGGGCAGGTGCGGGGCTCGGGGACAGGCAGAGACCGCCTAGGGCCACCCGGCCACAACCCAAACAGGTCTCCCCTGGGAGCCTCAGCAGAGGCAGGTGACGGCACTGTCCCTTCTCCTGGGGCTTTGAGAGGCCCGGGGAGGCAGGGCAGGCCAGCTCCCAGCCCAGAGGTCCCCCTTGGACCAGTGACGCTGCCCCCCCGCTGGCCACTTCGAGCCTGTGCAGCCTCAGCTCCAAGGCCGCCTCTTCAGCCCGGCCCTGCTCGTCCACACTGAGCCAAGCAGAGAGCTGCTCCCCCGCCCCAGCTTCTCTCCCGCACCCTCGGCCTTCCCAGCACTGGGGCGCCCATCACCGCGGAGTGGCTGCCCCCATGCTCCCCGGTCTGGCCCACTTGAAAACATCTTCCCTGGGGACAGGGCCTTATCTGTGTCCCTGCAACGAGCCCAGCACCCGCTGACATCCTGGATGCGGAAGACACACATGAATAAACCGGGAGTCTGTTCCCGGCTGACCTGTGGGGGGTGGGTGCTCACCAGCCCCCCACCGGAGCCCCTCCATGTGCCACAGGGGTGGTGGGGACAGAGGAAGTGAGGCCAGGTCCCCAGAGGAGGGTTTTTGGGGGTGGTTCATGATGTCTATGCTCCCAGAAACAGCAGATGGGGGCAGGGAACCCCATCCCCCCAAGCCCGAGGGAGGGGAGTGTGCAGTCTGGGGCCGAGGTTGTCCCAGCCCAAGGCAGGGACAGCGGCCCTCACCCTCCACACCGGACAACCCGTGCGTGCCGTCAGAAGGGGCTCCCTCGTTCGGGCACCGGACAGGGAATGTGCAGCCCCCTCTCCCAGGACCACCTGCCGCCCCCTCCGAGGCCTCAGCGGCGAGGCCAGTTTGGGCGAACGTGGAACCCAGGCCTGTCCTGGGTCACAGGCAAGGGGGGGCTTGGCATTCTGCCCCCCGCCCCGGCCCCCAGACAACCCTGTGCGCAGAGCTGGGAAAGGAGGGGCCGCTGGAGGGGCCTTCCGAGCCAGCACACTCAGGGCGGCCACGCGGAGCCGTGGACACTGGCCAGGCCGAGTCTGCCGGGTTCTGGTTCCCAGAAATTTGGAAATGACTCCGGGTGAGCAGGGACGGGGGCCCTAGCAGGGTCTGAGGGCTTCGCGTCTGACCTCTGAACTCACTATTTCTGCACCCGTCTCTCGTGTGTGAAACGTGCCAAGTCGTTCAACATAAACATTTCAGGGATTGCACAACTGTCACACCCTGTTCTGGCCTGTCTTTCTTTCTTAATGTGCAGAGAACCTCAGAACATGGCCGTGGGCAGGCCCCTTGCCCTTGGCCTCCAGGGGCTCTGGGGGCCGGGGCTGGGGCAGGTCAGGTTGTGCGCGCCCACAGGAGGGACTGGGAGGGAGGGGCGAGGTCGTGAGGGGCGGGCAGGGCACGCAGAGACCCAGGGGACAGAGGGAGGACCACACGAGGCTCCGGGCCTGGGGCCCCACACCACCTTTGGTCTGACGGCCACAGCCACCCCTTTGCTGGTGGCCTGGCCTGGGGCGATGATGGCCACTTGGCCGAGAGGCGGTCAGGGCGGGCAGCAGCAGACCACCCCTGATGACAGGACAGCAGGTGAGGAGTAAAGATTCTGCAGGAACCGCGAGGA